TTTAATTTTAAATAAAAATTGTTTCTAAAAATTTGTAATTTCGAAATCCCACCGAAATAATAATATTTTCTCTATTCGTTCAAAAGATTTGCTTTCCAAAAAATTAAAATTAAAATATCCTTCTTTACCACAATATTGAGTAGAAAAAAAGTGATTTAAAACCGGCTGATCTAGAGTTAGTCCTTTCACACTATATGTTTGTGCTAACATATAGTATAATGCCGTTCTGCTTCACCAACTTTTTCCAGTCTTGACCGCAACTTAGGTAACGACAAGTACAACGGTTTAATACTTTTGAGTAACTGTTTCTTAATTATAGAAAAGACAAAGAGTTTGTAATCTAAAAAGATGAATAATAAAGAACTATATATATATATATATATATATATTAAAAAAGAATCAACTGAAAAACAGAAAAATGTGAAAATGAGCCATTGAGTCTGACCAAGAATGGATGATTTCAAATATTGGTTAAGAACACCTTTGTGCAACGATTAGGCAGTGAAAGTGCAGCAGAATAGAACTGATTATTTTTTGTTTCTTTATTCTTCATCTTTATTAATCTAAATATATAGGACAACGAAATTTTTATCCTGGCCATCTTCACAGCTCTTAAATAGTTAAACTTAATGCTTCATGAGTGACCGACTCTTCACATGTCTATTGTTGCTGAGCTAAATGGGGAGGGTTTTGTTATTTACCAGTGGTAATATATGATTTTGGAGTCTTGCGATATTGATTTTTTGCTCAAGCGATGAAGCTAATATCGCATTTCACATACAACCATCACAAAAGAAATCAGATATTAAATGTTACTTTCAGTGGAATTAATTTTAGGATGAAACATTTCTACTCGAGGAATTGTTGGATAGCTAATATGATCTTTTATTGTTACATTGTTATATTGATATGATCTTTGTTGTTACAAATAATCACTGCTTGTCTACAATAGTATATTCCTTGTTTACTTTAGTTTTTTCGTGAAGCAATATCACTAGTTTACTATTCATCTCAACATCTATATTATCATCTATAGTTTGCATTTTCTACGGATAATATTTCTTGTAGTAATATCTTTATGGGATGATAATGAAATTTCTGTAACAATATTTATAATGTAATCATCTTGTTTGGCAAGGTTGTTATCTTTTAATAATTAAATTTGTAGCGTAATCATAATGCCTATGCGTCTGATGTCACCATTTTAACTAATTTATAATGCAGTATATAGATAATTGTACGAGCACCCTGAAGGAAGCACACATTTTTGAAGAGCCATTGTATTGCGCTACCGCTAAAAACGAATATAAAAAGTCAATTCAGATTTTTTGATTACGTCATACTGTTGAGAGTGACATATTCATTGTTTAAAAAATATATAAAAATATATTATTTCTGATAGCATGTCGTGTTTCAGCCAAAAGATGTCAGAAAACTGACTATTTGCTTCTTCTTGATGTTTCTAAATATTTTAAATAAATAATTATCCAGTTAATTCCTTATTATTTAAACTTGTACATTAGTATGGTGCAAACATTTATTATATGAATTCATTTTTTAGAAATACTTATCATACAGAACCTATCATTCAATCATTTTTTATATAGCAGAAGAAGCAGAAGTGCAAAATAGAACTTAAGATATTTTGAATAACTTAATTTAATGCTATAAAGAAGCAAAAAAACGGGATCGAAATTTTTACAACGTTTCAATTAGGCAGCAACAGTCTTGTTACGTCTAGCAAACGTAATTCTTTTATATATGATTACATTATGAGCTTTAAATGACCAAGAAATGCTCAACCAATAAGTAATTAAGACCTCACCTTACATATCATCTAATTCTTAGAATGACAGATTGGTGTGTAATAAAACAGATTTTTGTTGCTTGCGTATGGTAATAGCAGTAAGTTCAAATAACTATCTGAAATCTTTCGACCAGATTCTACTCCATCCATTCTAATTTAGAAATAATTGTTTTAACATAATGATAATTTGTTTGACTGTAAAAACCTATTACTTTATTTTCCTTCATTCTCCATCTTGGCTGCTTTGCTGTATATTTCTGAAAGAATTACAAATGAAATGAACGAACTAGTTTGAGGTATCCAGATGACAGTAAAGAAATGATGGCTCCATATTTAATGGTTCTTTCTTCCTTCGAGATTTCTCAATTAATTGAAAAATTTTGAGTTAGTGCTTTTTGTAACTTCCAACCAAATTTGTAAATTGTTCAGTCAAAAATAATTTATTAGTGAACGAGAAATAAATGCCGCTAATGTGTGTACAAGTCTTAGCTGATAAGAATAAGAATTTTCTATGAACATTAAAATAGGCTGCCTAATTTAATCTTTAAAATTACTCGAGTTTTATTTATAGGTAGTTAATAAACAAGTTTGGTGAGTAGCGTTTAGTTTCAGTGTTATAATAAAAGAGTAGATGAGATAAAAGAAAAAGAGGCATTTAAATCATTTTTCATCGAAATTTAAGGTTCCCATTACCTTTTTTACTCTTCCTCTTCTTCTAAAAATTTGTAATACGCAAGTAGTAATCTTGTTATTTTGCTTATTTTTAAACTTTATGGAAAACAAAGACTAATTTTACCAACCTTTTAGAACAGGAAAATACTTACAATAAGTAATTATGAAAAGTAATAGCTCTGCGGACTTCTCTATTTTTTCCTCATTCCACAAATATTAAAAAATCAAAAACATTTTGAGATCCTTTTTTAATTCGTCCAATGTTTTCCGTCACAAACTAATACATATGTATATATATATTTATTGGACTTGGGTCATATATATTTATAAATTTTGGTAATATGTGCCGAAAAAACCTATTATTTTTCATTTATCGAGAAGACAAAACAAACAGAATAAATCTGAACAACATTATCAAAGAGACTTTTCAACGAAATGAATAGTATTAAGTGTTCAAAATTTCATATATAATAAAAGATGTAAGAGATATGCTTGATCGACCACATTTAGTTTCTCAATGATAAGGATTGAAGAATAGTAAAACGATAAAAAAATTTCTATTTGAGAAAGTAACAATATTTTTTGAGAAAAAGTGGTATCTATTTTCTCATATTTATATGCTTACCTCTAACTGCAGATTTATCAGCCAAAGTTAATGTCAACAGATAGTTACGCATTTTTTGTTTCGGCTTTTTTACTGCGATATCATTCAACAAGATTGTAAATAGTTACCATCTATACAGTTAGTACTAGTAGCTACTTAATAAATTATATTTGGATCATCATTTCATCGTACTAGGCAATTTATAAGCAGCATAACTAGGACTTGGTCATAATCGTTCTAGGATTATTTCAATTTAATCTCCTAACGAACTTGTTCACTTCCAGTTTCGCTTTTTGACCAAGTTTTTTTTTCTTTTTCGATCAAGTTCCTTAACGTAACTTATGATACTATTTGTTCAAAATGGAGAATATTATGATTGTTTGCACACATTTCTATGTGTACTCTTTTGTTATGTCTTGTTCAACTATTTTACAGCCGAGGAAAATTCGTTTTCCCTGAATTCATTTTTAGGAGTTATTTACAAAATTGCCAATGATATTAGAGGCTGGCTGCACCGTGTATTAATAATCAACGCTGTGCATTTTCCATTTCCTGCTTCCCATTCTTTAAATAAGCGACGCCCCAAAAATCAACCACTTCTGTTGTTGCATTTAGGAAGCCATGAAATTTCGGCCGTAATTTTAGCAGTTTAGGCAATTCATATTGTTGCCGTACAGTTAACAATTTACTATTCAGAACAGTAGCACAGATCAGAGGATATAATGTTGTTATCCCTTCGATAAACCGGTTTAACAAGACAATAGATGGAATGATTTAGTCTTTATCATACTGTAAAAATTTTCGAAATGATTTATAAATCGTTTCCCGTTATAGAAAAGAGGAATCTCAAATTGGTTGTTGATGCCTTTGACCAATTATTTGTATTATTGCGTTTGGTCCAGTCTACGGAAACAATCCTTATCATTGATATTAAATCATATCAGCTATAACTGATATGTACACTCCTATCTATCGTTTGAACAGTAGTCCTGCAGTTATCACCACATAACAGACGAACAAACAAACAGACATACAATACAAGAAAGCATATCAGTTTCTGTCAAATTAATTGATTTCCATTACTAATATCATTTGGTATCATAGTGATTCTATCACTTAATGTTCATTTTTTCACTTCCTTGGCAGGGTACTCCCTTATCACAACTTCTGCCTTACTTGATGTCTAGTAACTGTGTTTTAGAGTGTCTCTTTTCTCTCCTTCTTTTTTAATTACAATCACTTTACATGAAATTTGAGTCATTGACTCCTACCTGAAACTATCATCATATCAAACCGCTTCTCGTCTAATTCTCTTAATAAAGGGTTATCACAACCTTTATCTTTTCTTGATCTATATAGTTCAGATTCCCAGAATTATGTATGATTTGTAGATATTTTTTGATTTACGGTGAGTTAGCTTTTCTAAGCTTAGAAAAGCTTAGATGACAGTGGTTAATTATAGCCATAATCCAATATATGCGATGACAACCTTTTTGAGGAAGCACAATGGTTATTTCTTTTGAGGCATTGATCTTCTTTACTATGACTTAGCTGTTTATGTTCGTATTTTTAATGAAATTGAATAAACCTAGAATATAGGTGATACAAGAGGTTGTCTTAATTTAGTGACATTGTTAAATATTTCTCAACATCACGAATTATATCTTATGATGTTACTTATCCCGAACAGACTTGAATCTGGAATTTATAATCTCATCATAGTAATAAGCATAGCAGCTCAGTGTAAATAATTTCGTTCTTAATATTCCAACGAAATCTGTTGCATTTCGTCTGAATATTTTCGAATGATCATCTGCAAATTGACTTCTAACAGATAATTTTATTATTCATTAAAGATAAAAAACCAGTACGTATAGAAGGAGTGGATGGATTTCAATTCATAAAATGGAAAAATCTATGGAATTCGGTGAACTGACAACTGTCTTTATGCCTACTTCACAATATCATCAATCGTCCAGGTAAAAAACTCAATTCTGAGTTCGGCAGCAATTGTGAAAATTTAGGTATAATTAACTATAAGAATTAAATATTAATTAATTTGTTTACTTTCGATTTATTAGTGTAACAAACTTCGAAATTTACGAAATTTGGAATCTGAGTGAAATATGAAAAATGCAGTGTGAAATAAAGTGGTTGATTGTTTGGTAAAACTGCTGATGAGCTAGTTTTATAAGACAAACACAGTCTTTAATTAAGATCATGTTAGTTTTATTCAGCGAAATTTAATTAATCAAAGAAGAAGAATGAAAAAAAAGAAGGATGAGAATAGGGAAGTGATGAAAGGATGTTGTGGCGTTCTTTTATCAGTACGCTTTACTGGTCCTGTGGCGACAGATTTTTTTTTTTGTTAACATGTTCGTCATCAGCTCACTTTCATCTGTCTCTTCCATGCACTTTTTACTTCTAAATTTTTTGGGATTCTTGTAATCTATACTGTACTTCAACTTTTATTCTGTGTATAAAATATTGCGAATTTGATTGCATTATTATATCGTCGTTTCCGCTCCTTTCTATTTAAGGACCAATTAACTGTTACCAGGTTTGTACAGGTTATAGCAATCTTAACTGCTGCAGCAAACAGATGAACATCATTCGCATACCATTCATCTAATGAATCTTTTTACAAACAGATGTTGGTTGCTTCATTCTTTCTCATTTAACCATAATTTTTTCTAAAATATTTTTCTGGATTTAGACTTTACGATATTTTCATAACAATGAGAAAATTTTTCCCTAGAAAAATCAAAAAAATTACTTGAAAAAATCTCAGACTTTCTCCAACTTGTATTCACATTACAATTTCTATAATTCTATTCAGAGAATGCTGAGAATACTGCATGTACTATTTTTCGATATGTAAGGCCCTCTATATTGCTTTTGATAGTACTACCGTTCGTAGAGATGAAAACATAAATAAATAAATAAGAATATTCATTAGGAAAATGTAAATCTATCTTATGTGAATTCTTGGCTGATTTACTCATCATGAATTAAGCAACCTATTCCAATTCATTTTTTGACAAAAAGATTGCGATGGTATTGCTTCGCACTTTATTTGTCACCTTTTTGCATGCAATGAAATGAAATGCTTTATAGTAAATTTATCTCACGATTACATGAGTTTTTCTGCTTGTTCTTAGTGAATTAACCCAACAATCGAAATTTATGGTTGGAAAACTTTTAAGTGGCAATATTACATTGAAAGAGCAAAATTTTTCATTGATCGGTAATACCTATACAGTTGGTTATAAAGCTAATAAATAGTGTTAACAATTTTATTCATCAACTGTGTTGAATAAAAACAATTTTATGCAAATAGATTTAACAAGCGATACATTTCTTCCTGTGCTCCAGCTTTTCAAATGTCGTATTCTAAAAGCAAATACTAAAATTAGTTGTGCTCATTTAGTAATCCATTCAGCTTTCATTAATCCTAAATTGGCGTTTTCTGCTAAATTAACTTTGCAGTTAAAGAAAAAAGTTTTGCAGTTGAAAGCTCTAATTTGAATCAAAATAGAACTAGGTAGAATAGTTCTATATCACAGTGTAGAATAGAGTTAGAAAGATTCTTCGTAATCGTTTGACAGTTTGCGCATTGCATTTGTACCAGTCAGGAGAGAAATTTATTTTTTGAAATTTCATTTTTAGTCGTATAGTGACTCTGTTGTAAAATAAACTGTCATAAAACAGAAATTTATAAATTTATGATGTTGCAATGAGAGTGTTTTAATTTACTTGATGCCAACATTTTATTACTGTGTACAAGCCATTAGAATCCAGATGGCGCAAATGATCGATATTCTAACCGATGATTTGATGAAGAGAAACTAGAAGCATCTTGTGAGTGAATTGTTTTCGATGGATCCATCTAGATTTATTAAATGTACTCAGAAAGACGCATCTCTATGTGGTTTATTTAAATAGATGAGTTAAATATGAGTAATATGATTATGTTTTATGCGCTATGTTCAGTTCGTACTTTTTGCTTTTTTCTTCATCTGAAATGTATCATATTGTATGCCGCTGTACATATTTATGGTTTGATGAACCAAATTTATTATCGATATATTTAGCTTAGCTGCTGTAGATAAAACAGGTTTTTAAAAACAGGAGAGAAATTATCAGAATAGGACTTGCGATTTCATATATTTCCAATTTTGAACTTAAAGAAATTACAGCTTCAATCAAAACAAAAGAATATCACAGAAAAGCAATAAACTTTAGTTATCATTTATTTGATTAAATATTTGAATAGAAGTAGAGCTAGCACTATATTATAAAAAGTTGAACAGTTGCTAGAGTGATTTTTCATAATTTCTTAATTACGTGCTCTTATGCTTATGTTTATGGTTGGATAAGGATTTCTTACAGCACTAATATCAGGAATTCTGATAGTCTGCACCACTCAATTCGTCATGTGTGTAGAAGAATAGGCAACTTTTTGGAACACATTGATGATTCTTAAAACACTTAAGTATGCATGCACCTACAAAATCGTGAGAAATAATGCATTAAGTAGCAGACTGAAGTTGGACTGGTACTATCAATAATAGCTGCTACAGAAGCTTGATGGATCAATACATCAATCAAGCAGGTACTTCCTTCCAAACTAAAATTTCACGTTGTTGTTTCATCGGTATTTATCGAAAAGTGGGTTAGTTGATAATAACAAAGTAATGATTAAATAATGCTCTGTTCATCATTCTGAGTAAGTAAATACATATATATTTATATAGGTTAGATTATCGATGTTTAAAATCATTTTTTTTTTTTTTTTTTTTTGCATTTTAAACTTTGATTTGAATCATCAGCTTATCACCGACTAAAGCAATTTCGCGATTAGAAAAGTTTCTAGGACTACTTTTGCCTGTTCACAACTATGATAACTTTCATATCATGACACAATGTCTATGAGATTCCTGGATATTCAGAAGGAAAACTAAAATAAAAAAGTTAAAAAGAAATATACAACTGAAAGTTAAATTGAATCTTGCTGTGTATTTGTCGCTTTGAAAAACAATTGATTCACTTCCCTTAAAAGTTTGACTATCAAGGAAAGTGGATCGCTTGCTTTCTCCTTTTTTTTTTCGTCTTTTACTCTTACTTATATTTATAAATAAAAAAAAAAAAAAAAAAAAGAATTTTTGAAAAAAATGTCACATTATTTTCCATTATTATCTTATAAATGAAAGCAGTATGATTCCATCATTTCAAATTACTTTTAACAATTTATTGAACAGTTGCATATTGGGAAAATACGTCGTATATCTGTTAGAAAGATATGATTCCAAAGATAAACATGCAGACCCGTCTATCGATACTGATCCTCAGCAACTGCTTTTTATAATTTCAAGTGATAACATTTGTGAAATAACAACTGCATGAATAACATTTCCTTAAGTTTTTTATGGAAATTTTGTTCTAATAACTTAATGTCCTTCACTATTCCTTCACATGCATAATTGAATTCCTTGTTTGCTTTTAAAATTAACACTGCAATTGCAAAACTTATTTATATTTGTAGTGTCAATTTTTGTATTATTGAAAAATTCCTGCGTTGTTTAGAAAAAAAGTTCCCTTACTTCAGGTCTATGTTGATGCCACACATAATCTTCAACTGTTAAGCAAACAATTTCAACAATTTCAAAATCATTTTTATAAGTAAAAGGCGTATTTGGATGATTTAGAATAATTTGGTCCATTTGAAAGCATCATTTGAATAAAGCAAAAAGGTTTTAATATAAAATAGTTATGAAAAAAACATAACTAATTCAACAAGTTCACAAATCTGTTAAAGCTTATATACATATAGATAGATATAAGTTTTAGGTACATGCTAGAATATAAAACCGTCAGAAATTATTCGCTTTGGTGATTTAAAAAGCTATAAGTTTTTACTTTGCAGAATGCCGATAATTAGAGAGGTGATGCTCGGAGTCAGTACAGTCAGTGCACATTCCTCTTACGATATCAAGGATAAGCTTACTGGTATCATTTCTCTTTCGTCTCTTTCATTATTTAATCTTCTTGCATTAAGCTACAGTTCTTTAATCGTTTTCATAAAAACACACGTAGTTGTAAACGTTATTACAGATAACAATGCAATGTGTGCAGTTTGCGGTGATGGTCATGCGAAGTTGCACTATGGTATCTTGGCTTGTTATGGATGTAAAGGATTCTTCCGACGAACGCTCACTGGAAAGTATCGATATGCATGCAGATTTAGCAATAACTGCGTCGTTGATAAATGTGAATTGCTGTTGAGCTTATGATTATAAAAAAAGAAAAAAAATGTCGAAGTGTAGGAGAATATGATACATTATTGTACAGTAGATATAGATCTGCGATTTTCATTGCTGTCCGGCATCTGAGAAAATGCTTTTGTTTAGTTTCCAAGAAATTTAGGAAAGATACAGAACTCTTCTAACAGTGATGGAAGAAAACACGGTGAAATGAATTTTTTTTCTCATTTTCTTCATGAATCAAAGGAATTTGCAAAGTGATTTGTTTGACGGTAGTAAACATGAGTCTCTTAGAAAACCCAGGTAGCACACGATTGAACAGTTAATCGAATAACCCGGTGGAATTGCATGAAATGTGTCTCTATATGTAAGAAGACAAATCTGTCGTCAGACTTCTTTATTGATACATTTCATTCGATACGTTTCACCTTCTAAGGAGTCTGCGAATAGGAACGTGATTTCCGGGTACCCTTAATACAGATATTGCAAGAAATTTCAATCTGTTTACGTAGGTTGTTGGACATAGTTGTATGACAGCAGTAGGATGCATATGACGTACATAATTTGTGTTTGCAATATTTCCATACTGATCTATAGAAGGTTATTTAGATCAGAGAAATAGCTGTCGCTACTGTCGTTTTCAGCGATGCTTAGAAGTTGGAATGGATCCGAAAGGTATTCTTGCTATAAAATAATTTCTGTGACACAGAGATTTTTCAACGCTCGTTTTAGGTGCAGTTTATGCTGACTTTTTTGAATTACAAAAAAAGAAAGAAATAGTAATAAAAGAGGTTTAATGATGTTAAAAAGTTGATGAACTTGTTACTCATTGTAACCATTTGTGAAAAATGATCTTGTTAATTGAGCCCTAATCTTTACTAAAATAATATTACAGCAGTGCGACCTGACCGTGATTTAACTGGTAGACAACGAGTTCCACGTTTGCGAAAAAGACAGATCGATGAAGAACTTGTAAGCCACATGGTACATAATCTTTCAGTTTTTGTTCTTTCAAGTATTTTTGTTCAAATTGCAATTCCTTATATTTTACTCGTCAGCAAAAGACACTGTGATTTGCTTTGAAATAGATTAAGTAGCCATGCTCGCTCTCACTTTTGCTTATTTCTGTTAATTTTCAAATTATCTAAATTTTATTTTTGAAATTTTTATGGTGGAAAATACGTCTGCAAATGTATTTATTTGTAATCTCTGTTGCAATAAGTCATTTTGAAAATGTCTTTTATTGAACAATCATAATGAACGATTAAATTGTCCAAGTTTTTCTAGGTACATCAAATAGTACCTTTACTTTGATGCTTATCTTTTAGCATAATGTTGGTAGTAATTTTTTTCAAATGCAATTGCAAGATGATGAGTTGTCATGCAAACTACCGGTGGAATCACGTGTGCTGCTAATGCAATTAATGAATATTGAATGGGAAATTGTTAAAGCAGATGAAACATTATGCACAAGGAGTGGTACTAAGCACTCATTCAAGACCATTTCTTTTCGGGAACTTTTTGAACGCAGACCAATTCTAGATGCCCGATCAACTAAGGTAACGCATTTTTTTTTTGCCTTTTAAATATTCATCGAAAACGTTACTAAATAGAAAAACTAGATGTTACAATTTTGCTATCCATCAAATAGGGGCTTTTATATTAGTGTTCATCTTTTGTCATAACTCTAGTACTAATTTTTTTCAAATATGATTGAAAGACAGATACTATTCCTAAATCGTATATATATAAGAATGTTGATGACTCATTGAACTGAAATGAAATCAATCACACTCCGTATTATAGGTTCAATACGAACCGTACCGGATGGCTCAACTAGATGAACTACCTCAGATTACTCATCGCAGAGCGATGGCCGCCGTCGACTGGGTTGATTCACTAGCCAAACTAGCTGATATTACTGATAGTGAAGATAAGGTACATGTTCAATTCAATTAGTTGATTCTTCTAGTTAGAATATTGTTATCGCTCGTTACAAATCCATTCGATGTTAAGATACGGAGAAATAATTTTATCTAATTCCATCTTATCAAAATCGTGAAAAATATTCTTTTAACTATCAACCAAGTTCTACGATTTTAATCAGATTAGTATCAAGAACACTAGCCTAATTTTTTAGGTCGCTCTTGTAAAGTCATGTTATTCACCTCTGACTATATTCAATTTTTCAATGAAAACCGCTCAAAGCACTGATATCCCCTTATACGGTTTTTCATATGTGCCAAGGAATCTTCCACTCGAATTTACCCAAACGAAGTGATGTCCTCACTAACTGTCACATCATTTAAATTTCCTCGTTCTTTTCTTTAAATATCGCCTACTGTTCAAAGTATTGTTTTTCTTACTTTGTAAGAGATGTTGTGTAATAATGAACTGTAAGAATTCTATTTATATAAGATCGTTTCAGTCAGCTATCTGACGACGTAGTCAATAGAACGTTAAACGAACTAGTAATCCCTTTGAGGAAACTGAAACTGAAGGAGGAAGAAGTAGTACCACTCAAAGCAGTAATAATTTTAAATCCAAGTATGTTTTTTTGATATAATTTGTTGTATTTCTGGATCAGTTTTCGATATTTTGATGATACGAAAGATTTCTAGATGCGAAAGGTTTATCGGTGGCTGCACAGCAAGTTGTGTCAGATCTTCGTGATCGTGTCCAAGAAGTGCTATTTGATGTTATCAAAGAGTTGAATCCCACCTATGCTGCCACTGCACGGTTTGGCAATCTCCTTTTGTTAATACCTACAATCATGGTACGAATATTGGCTTCACTAATGATATTAGTTTGAAACTACTTATTTTATTGTCATGAAATTAAATAAGGAGTAAGCGCAGTTTGGTTTTTTTCGGAAAATTTTTTTAAGAGCGCTTCTTTATTGAAAAGGGAACAATGTGCCAACCTGAATAATGATATTTGAATAATGTTTACAGACGCTGTCTGGGACGGTGAATGAAAATTTGCAATTCTTGCAAGCTTTAGCAAGAGGTCAGAAAGAGGACAATCTACTCAATAAAATGTTTGGTGATGTGTATGCCAAACTAGACAATCCAGTAACCTCGACATCCTCACCACCGATGCTTGGAAACCCGGCTGAAATATCGTTAAAAGTTTGTGCTGATCGGATTACAATTTATATATGAAATAAATTTTAAGACAATTATTTCCCAAGTAGTAATTGTATTGAACTGCTCAAAACTATATTACATATTTATTATAGTTTGTTCCAGTATGCCAGCTCATCACCTCGATCAACAAAGATAAATGATAATGTGGGAAGTGCAGAGAAATTTATAATGGACTCGAGCACACAAACCTATCCAGATGACAGCCTTAAAGGATCGTTATCAAATAGCAGCCTATGCAAATCACTTACCCCTCCTAGCCATGTAAAACATTCCTTCACATCGCATCGCTTTACTATATAGAAATGTTCCCTATTGCAAGGGAATAATTAAGCTTAGTTAAATATTTCATCCTATAATTTTCTTCAACCTGAATACTTGCGTAGGTTGAGACGAAACAACCCACAGAAAGTTTAATGAAATGGCAACAGTTGAGAAGCTATTATCCATATATAATATAGTCGAAAAAAATACGGCACCTTGAAAACTAATATAGCTACATTTTCGATCTTTGAAACAATCATAGCAGATAAATGAAACTTCTATGACCAATAAAGATTGCAGGTGAGCTTCAGTCCACTTCATTATACCCTGGATGATGATATAACGAATTATTCGCTTGCTCCGGATTACGATGAGATTCATAATGACTGTGGTGATTTATTCTTCCTCATGGACGACATCAAATGATCTTCGCCAACTTTTCCACACAAACATACACACACATACATTTAAGTTGTATACAGTGCACCTGTATACATAGCATCCTTCCAATGCGTTCAGACTGTGATAACTAACGTCTTCATCATTCAGTTTTCACTTACGATTCGCTCAGCCATACCAAACAATATTACTGATGCACTACAGAAATTTTTATGTGGCGACACAGCATAACTTTAATTCATACCATTAGTATTAAGGCTAAACTCCTTTATATCTAGATCTTCACACGTAGCAGCTTTTCATCTTCTAATCGAAGAAATAATGTTATTCAGTTAGCTGTGAATATAGTAAAATGTATAATCACCAGAACGATAACTTCGCGTCTCCTGAGAGAATCTTCCCTCACTAATCCTCTACCTCCGATAACTCCAGAATACCTCTATCTCATTTTCCACATTACACAAATTCGAGTTAGCTAAATTTCAAATTCCAAACCTTTCAACCCAATCAAATTTTTCAATTCTTACCAGTTATTCAATGGCAGTTTCTCATAACTGAACACTGTGTATTTAATTTTCATTGTAACTTAGCCAAATTCAGCAGCACTTCGGCATCCCGCACTATGACGGATAACTCCCCACATTACACACTGATAACTGTATTAGCCTAACAAAGTATAGAATTAAAAATGGTCAACCCCCTCCCCCCCCCCAGTCTTATACTTCACTCAATGTCATTAACATTAACTGAGTCCTACTTGAGTTTAATTCTGCGTTAGACATTTTATTGTGCCTTGGATAAAACATATCTTTTTGTCTGTTTGCTTGATACATAACGGAAGACCTCAAAATTGTTCTTTTAGTGCGGAAGTCCATTCAAAAATTTATAGCACTTTAAAAGTAAAAACTAATTAACTTTATGAAATACAAACTATATCTATTATCACAATTCGATATCGAAAGAAATCGAAATTGAAGTTCCATAAATAAAAGTGAGCAGTAAACATTAATAAAAACAACTTAACAATATCAAAACATATGTAAAGAGAAAACACTGACAATCCAAGACAACTTTACTTCAATCACTTGGGAGAGCACATGATGTAAAACAATCCTTCAGACTAACAACATACAATAAGTGCCATGTATGGTCAATAAGACAACCTCTTGATGTAGAATGGGGTACTTTGGAAATTCAAGTCAAATTATAAGTTGTAAAACAATCAAAACCTCTGGACACCATAATTAGGATAGTATTTAATTTTTCTGTGAACAAATACTATTCGTCTGGTACTTCCAGTCAAACAAATAAATAGACTGAGACTTTGCAAATTCATAACTCGGCAATTAATATGTCCAGTCGTTCTTTACTCAGTCGTTCAAATCTTCCAGTTAGCCGACCTAAAAATTTGACTCAGGAAAATTAAAGAACATATAACCACTTTTAACAAAGAAAAGTTTATATTGGAACGACAAAGAAAAACCTTTGTTGTCTTTCATTGGAGTTATTGCAACTAATTCAACATTAGAACTTGTAAGTTTCTCTTCCATTACTTGTTTCAAAATTGAAAGCGCAATCTTTTCAGCCTCCACCAGTGATATCGACTGTAACGAAACAGTCAAATATGCTTCCAAAAATCAATAAACAGAAATAAATCCTACACTCATTAAACTGATTCTAATGTAGGATGTAGAAAGTGTAAGATGTAAAAGAACTGAACGATGAACTTCAACACAATACCTCATGATATTGTTCTTTTAAAGTTTGTTCCGCTCCATCTGAAGCAGCTCCAATTGACTTTGCCAAACAATCGATGAAAGTACCCGACGGATCCAAATGAAAACTGGAAATTATAATATTGCTGAATGTGAATGAAACCTTAATGAGATCTGGCTATAATGTTTAATTATAAATTAAATGGATGTATGATTACAGATATGTCAATAAAGCTTTATAATTAAAGATGAAAACAAATTAAGCAAAATAAAAAGGCATGAAAACATACAGCCGTGGCCCATCTTGGTCAACTCCGGCAAAAAGCATAGCAACACCGAACGGTCTTGACATAGACGCCTGAAACACACTTTGTAGTAAACAGCATATTAGGAAATTATGAAGTGAATTTTGAGAACTTCTAGTTAAATTGAAAGTATTCCAAGTAAACTGTGTAAAATAAAATGGAAAATATTGTAAGGAAAAGTAAAACTTAAATTTATGCTACAGTGATGTAACAAATAAAGTATGACAAAATAGTGAAAGCATGATAGAAATATACTTCTATGCGAATGCGAATCAAAAGATTTTAATGAAACTTATTATATAAATATTTAAACAAAAATATATTTTGTTGGGTTGACTGCAAAAATAAGGACATGGAAATAGTGAGACCTTTGCGTCATCATCGCCAAACTGTAATGCCAGATTAGCAACTGACATTGTTACATCCTCAACTCGTATTTTACGATTATATGTGAACCAGAAGTTTTGGGCTTCGATCTGTGCTCGCTCCACCAATGTTCTTGAATCGGCAATAAGACCAGCAAACGTTACTGCTGAAAAGCGTGTTTTCGTGAAACCATTCCACATCAAGTTTTATTAAAGTGACTGCTACGCAGAAACTTACCAACATGTGAGTCGACTTTTGATATCTTTTCAATCGCATCATTCACCATTAACTTTGATGTAGCACGCTTTTCTGCGGCCAAAATTACTCCTTCAATTGTGCGAATACCAATACTCGTTGAACCTAACTAAAAAAGGTTTACTAAAATGTAATGAAACGAAGAAGGCAAAGTCAGAATAGAGATTTAAGTCGAATCACAATAAACCCACTTTTACGGCTTCAATTGCATATTCGACCTGAAAAAGTCGACCTTCAGGCGAAAAAGTGTTGACACCACGGTCATATTCGCTTCTAGTCAAAAACATCGTCTGCAAATATCACGCCGATACGTTATCAAATAGTAAGCAATAAAATGTCTGGACATGAGCAGCAAGTAATTTGTTGGACATAAACGGCAAATGGCCGAATACCTATACGTCCACATAGTGCAATGACCGGACGATCCAAGGTAAGACACACTTCCTGTGACTTTAAGACACACTGATGGGATATTACTGTTGCTTGTGTGATAAGGAACATGAGCCATTTGAATGGATAATGCCCAAATATCCGTAAATATGAATTAGTAGAGTACACAAGTAGTTAAATGTTTAAAGTATTTCCTAAAAGAAACTGTAAGAAGGACTTGACCTCCTTTTCAATTGCTTTAACAGTTTAAAAACAATTCTTCCCTGCTTTAACAAGATTCCAATAATTAAGAACTCTTTGAAATTAGAGGAAAAGTTAGAAAAAACAACAAAACAGTGGAGATTCTAAGTAAAGAAAGGCATCGGTAATATTTGGGCTACTAAAACTTTGATGATATTCGGATTACTGTAGTAACGATGATGTAATGTTTGGGCTACTGACCTTCATTTTCCTAACCCAGCAATAATAGTCACCTAATCCTTGCATTTAATTAGAAATCTTAATACTTGTTGAATGCGTATTTCACACTCATCTTGTATTCCTTCCTTCCATATTGGGAAAACTTTCTTCCCTATTGTGATAAAGAATAATCCATACATACTAACACTTCAACATTAATGTTCCATGCAGTTCGAATAAAATTAAATCAAATAACTGGCTATAAAAGTTCCTATAGATTTATTCCATAATTCATTATAGAGAAGAATATATGTACAGTGAAGTAGACGGTTATTTCAGAAAAGTGTAGAGAATATAGTGCTGATAACTAATTCTTGTTCTTTCATCTTTTGTTCTTTTCAAACGAAGCTTTATATTCATACGATGAATATCTAGATTTGGTATACCACACACAAATACTTCGCAGCTAGTAAAATAGCTTTCACTGATTGCAATAAATACACCAATAGTGAAACAACGACAATCACGACATTACAACTTCCTAATACTAATTCATTTTCATATCGCTCCAACAATCGCCACGTATCCTTAACAAAGGTTGGTTTCTATTGAATTCGACAGCCATTACTCTTGGCCGCTATGAAATATTCAACCCAATAGGCATTTTGGACGTTTGTCTGGTTGAGACTTGTACTTTCAAGCTGTGCTGGTTATGTCCCGTTAATGTAAAGTTAAGTTAGATCACTTAAGAACATATTGTTGTTTGATAGAAAAAATGATTTAGAAGGGAATGGTTGGAAATGTGAAAATTTTGATATACGAACAAACTAGGAATGACTTTATGACTGGGTGACATGTTTCCATCGTGTTTATTCGATTTTGCAATACCATATGGTTATCATGCCCTTTACTCTGAAACATTATTATTATTGTTATTATTATTGTCATCATTGTCAATTATCACATAAACTATTAATTATTTTTATTATCATTATTATTATCATTGTTGTTACAGGCATCCAATGTTATGTCTTACAAATGGAAAAGGGAAAATTGGGGATGTGAACTGGGTGATAATGAGCGAATTATTGATTGGTCATTCCTAGCGGAATTGAATTTCACATTAGCTGCTTTATTAACTTCTAAAGGTGAGGTAATCATGTCATTTTAGGTTTTTACTGGCGACTTGAATTTAGTGGTAGCATAAGAATCTAAAATTGTATTCGGTAATTGTTGTTAACTGAAGCTTGTAAGAATTGAGTATACTTTTTATACATTTAAATTTGGAATTTGTTTTGCAAAATTGAGCAAATCTTTTTAAATACGAATGCGCATAGTGTAAGTATAAGGTCATATTTATTTAGTAAATCGTAATGTTCATTTGTCATAATAGCTTCTTTGTAGACTTTTTTCCGAATATACATTACAGAATAAGGGAACTGAATATTCGTGGGAGTCTTAAAATTGTTTGCCTTTGTGAGCTGGGAACTGCTTTCTTCTCAACAATTAATTTTGTTTCATTTGATTAAGTCTGCTTTTATTGCATATTAAATAATAAATGTTTTTTGTGTAGGTGGAGTTCTAATTTATTCTGACGTTGGAAGCAGTGGCGCCAAACTCTGTGTTACTCATTTACAAAAATTTGCTTCAACTGTAAACGAGGCTGCTGCCATATGCGTTCTTCCTGATGCAAGTGGTCTAGCATTCATTCTTTTAAAGGGGAGCGTTTTATTGGTACCGCTGCGGTGTATTCTGGTAAGTTTTCGTTCTTTTAATTAACATAAATATCACTTTTTACAACGGGGAAAGCTGTGCTGATTTTATTTGTACAGGTGGTTTTCAAATTCTTCGGTCATGTATCTTCTTTGAGGACGTGCCATGGGGTAGATGTGATATTTTGGCCAGTGATTCCGTTTCAATTTTGGAAGTTAATGGTGTGGAAGAAGGATGCTTGTGTACACCAACTTCTGCACTCTGTTACAGTGGTCATCATTCAAATCGTCCTTACTTAATATATGCAAATAAGGTATTATTATTATATTTTTTCAAAACTCATCTTTTTTTTTTATTTTGTGTTCTTTTATAGGCAGGACAGCTTTTCATTATTGATTTAACTATGATGGTAGTATCCGTAATGTTAAGAGCACCGGAAAGCATTCATAATATTGCTTTGTACACAAGCAAAGGCGATGTTCATTTACTGGTTTGTTTTCCTTTTCTGAAATTTTTTATTAAGGGTGCATCAGGCAGATATTCACCTAATTTAATATCGGTCATGCTGACAGTTATTTGTCTTATTATTTTTATAAAGTTTGCTTCAGGTAAGCGGTTTCACCAGTGAACAGTGGATATTGCCACTGGAAACTGATGGACGTAGCTTGCGTGAAACGTTAGGTCAGGTTATACCATGGGATTTAAGAGAACAGTATCACAAAACATCTCAGATCAGTGTCGCCTTCAATGGATTGCTTGCTGTGCTTAACACTGAAGATTGTGTTGTCAAGGTAAGCCACGAATTTTCCAGAAATTGTTAATATTATCAAGTGTTTATCTGTCTACCATCGTAAAAGCTCAGTATATAATATATGACAGTACTGTTTATTAAAAGAACTATTTATAATTTTATTAAGTTCTACGACGATGCCGATATGAAAATAGCGAAAAATTTTGTCTCCGTGCCTGAAAATACGTGGCAGGTGCATATTCTTCCGCATGTGGTATTTGCTATTACTGATCAAGTTTCTGGTAATGGTGTTTCTGTTCACTTCGGTGTGAGTTTTCACGTATTGTATTAATTTGTTTCTTCATATGTGATTAGTTTTGCAATGTTATATTAAATTCAGGCGACGTTTTAGCCATCATAACACAAACAGTATGCGGTGTGCGGTCTCGATTTTATTGTTCATATGATTCTATAGTTTAAGTACCATTTTAGGGTTTGTTCAGTACTGCAAAGATTTTTTACGAAAAAATCCTTGATTTTTCAAGTGAGAAGATATTGGGTTTTATACCGATTATATGCGAGAATATTCTGCCTTCGTGTTTGCTTGTAACGGAACATGATGTTATCGTTTTATATCCGAACAAGTTATTTCTTTGCTATTATATCTCGCAACCACATTTTTATATAGTATTTAATTTATATTCTTTCTGGATTTTGTGTTTTTGTAGTTATGACAATTCTAGAGAGCTCCATGTGGAAATGATGATAAAACGTTTTAGGTCTTTACGCGAGGTTCTGGTTGATTATGTCGCGAAACTCGACTTCAGTTATAACATTTGCATGTTAGTAGCTGAAACATTTGAAATAAATGTCGCTGATTTGGTTCAAAATGTCCTCGACGATACTATTCCTATTATTCAGAATTCTGCGGACAAAGAAATCATTCTGAATAAACTGATTAATCTTGCACTTGATTCATCTGTAAGCACATGACACGCACTTTTGCGGTTTTTGGTCTGGAAAGTGATATTTGTTCCAAATTATTTCTTGAGTTCCAGTTGGGATTTTTTAAAACTTAGTACTTGTAAGTGGCTTTGTCGAGTCAACGGCTATTCTATGGTCTAGTATTCTAAACATTAGTACTAGCCAAAATCATTGCATGCGTTTTCAAATCTATTGATCAAACTTGGCAAATATCAAATATAGAAGTTTGAACACTAAGTATTGGCTCGACGAATTATTTTCCAGGATTTTTACGTGATTCTTTTTCAGATGGATCTTATCACTTTAATAGAGTGGTGCACGAAGAGTAGTTCTGAACATGCACTTGTGGAAGTGGTGAGAGATATATGTGCAGAAGATCCAAATGAAAAAGGCAGACATCACATGATCAACCTTTGCATGGCTCGTTATAAAGCCTTCCCTCAAGACAGAGATAAGATCGAAACCATTTTAAAGCAAGTCTTTTGATTTTGGAACTGCAGCGTTTACCACCTTCTTGTATTTTATACTAATGATAAATTTCTTCATTTGTATTTTTCATAATGACAACAAAGACTAGTTTTCGATCTCTTATAAGTTTTTTCGAAAGGGAATTCCAGCGAATTTTTGATACAACATCAAGATGTTTACGCTGGCGTGGAACAATTGCTTGAAGCGGATTTTTGGACGACTGTTACTATAGTTGTTGATAATTCGTTAGATAAAGCTGAGATTGTGGGAAGATATCTAGCAAGAACAAGAAAGGATTGGCCAGCAGTTCGTAGTTCATTCATTGTGAAAATTTTGTCATCTCTTTGTTGGAAATCATGCAGCAAAGAGGTTGGTGAAATGCTTTTACGGCGTATGACGGAATTTGTACCTCACCTGAAATCTGTATCACATCTCACTACTTTTGCTAAGATTGGAGTGGAACAGGTGACAAGGTTTGTAATTTTTTGATAAAGCCGATTTCTTTGCTTGATTATAAAATTCTGTTTTAGCTTAATAGCTCGAAGGTTTGATTTGAGTAGATGTATTTGCGAAGTCATATTCTTCTTGCAGTTATCAAAATAATGCAGCTGTTCTCTACGTGATATCTTTGTTGCATCTGATGCAAGCAACATACAATACTGTAAGTTTTTCAGGTTTTTAATGTAAAGAGACTATTTTCCTATGCTGAACCATATCCTTGTTTCATTGCTGAGTTCATATTTTTCAAATGCTCTCTAAAAAAAACTTTTTTCTATTTAAATTTCTCTTGTTATATTACAATGTTTGTTGGTGTTGGTAACTAACACTTTAATATTTAATATAACAAATTTTAGTATAGTCAATGTGAAATTTGTTCTTGGACATTCGTGGTTAAAAGTTAACTAAAATATATTTAAGCTATATTAAGAACAAACAATAATTAAAATTCGTTGCAGCGTTTTCCTTCTGAAGCGGATAGCATTATTTCAAGTGGATCGAACTTTACTGCCGTAGTGACTTCTGAGGAAGGTATTGGTTATTGGGGAGAATTTTCTCCAGGACCATTAAAGTCAAAGGAATGTGAAAAATCTCTTGGACAACGTGCATCTCGTTTGTGTATGCTGGATTTACCTGTTCGAATTTGTAGCGTTTCTTGCGGCACCGAACATTTGCTTTGCTTAACTATACATGGGAAAGTCTATGCGTTTGGTCGAAATAGGTTCGAAATAGTATTATGTTGATATTAAAATTCAGGGGTTTTTTAGACAATAAAATTTTATTTTTCATATGCAATTTTTTCTTTTTTGCTGACAAAACCGATTTACTTCTTGTTACTGTTTTTAAGCTCATAATAAAGTTTCGTTGAATGTGACGAATTCTGTTATTTATAGATTTGGTCAGTGTGGTGTCGGTCATACAAGTGAGATTACAGTGGCAGCGGAAATTGTCGATAATTATGGGAGCGCTCGTGCAGTATGTGCTGGACATTATCATTCAGCACTAATCAATGAAGAAGGATATGCTTTCACTTGGGGTTGGTCGTTTTATGGACAACTTGGAATTAATACACGCTCTTCATTCACAGACGAACTGGTTCCGAGTTTGGTGAAATCTTTGAAGTAAGTTTTAAGATTTGTACTTATTGTTCAACAATTGATTGGTAGTTTTTATATGAATCCGTACTTTTTTTTTTTTTAAATTGTTGCAGTTTCACTTTAACACTCGGAACAAGTGTTTTGGTTTTCAGTTTAGAGTTGAAAGAAATGAAGTTTTTGTTTAAAAAATATGTCGGAAAGCACACTTATAAGTATGTGTTTCAGTGGGCGAGTTATTTCAGTTGCTTGTGGATATGCACATACATTGTTTTTGATGGAATCAGGCGTTGTTTATTCTTGTGGTAACGGGTCATATGGACAGCTGGGTGTCGGTGCTGAAATAAAAAAGCGTTTCGAACCTGAGGCAGTTCCTGTGCCGAATAAAGTTCTCATGATTGCTTCGAAATATTTCCACTGTTTAGCTGTATCCGAAGGGCAGAAAATTTATTGCTGGGGTGCTAATCCGCAAGCATTGAAGATGAAAATGTTTGTTAAACGAAGATTGCGCGTAGAAACAGATAAAGGTACTTCGACGAAACTGGCAATCAGTAACTCCCACTTAACAGTCACCGAGTTGGAACATATGGTTTGTCTCTCACTGAATGGTGTTGCTTTTTTATAAGTTTCCTTTCGAAATGCAATTGAAGAGTAACTTTACATAACTTCAGGTGCAGGGAAGAATAATACACATTGACGCAGGTTATAGTCATTCAGCTGTTATAAACGAATATAAAAATCTCTATACATGGGGTAAAAGTTTGGATATGCAACTGGGTCATGGTAACAAGAAAGAGCAAGAAGAGCCACATCAGCTGTTTGAACCATCTGCTGCTTGGGATTTCGTTTCATGTGGTATGCGACACTTTGTATTCTGTCCTTAACTATGTTATTTCTGAAGTTGTAAAGACACATTATATATTTTTTTGTAGGTTACGATTTTACGACTGCCATAACCTCTCAAGGCATTATTTACGTCTGGGGGAGAAATTATAAAGGTCATTTGGGTGTTGAATCAGGCGTTCCTTCATCAGTTAGTCGTAAAATTGTATTCAAAACTGCTAAAGGTCCTTCGAAGACAATTGAAGTGACCGGTGATAGTCCTTGCATACCACGACCAACAAAGTTTCCAGCTTTGATTGCGTTTTCGCTCACAGGTTTTTCTTAGTTGCATTACTTTCCCTGTTTCAATTTTTCGTGTGTAAATTATTGTTATAAAGAAATGTTTTTTTTTTTTTTAGCGTTAGTTGTAAGGTTTAAGGTGAGTTATTCAAATTTCAGAATTATGTTTTGACGAAGTGAGAAAACGTAGTTTTATCGATTTTGTCAAAAAAATGGATTCAAACGCGATCTCAGATATTTCTTCTGAGCTTCTTAGAAATCCAGTGTACTGTCTTCCTGCTATATACATGCATTTATTGGCTGGTGATCTCATTCATGCTATTGAAATTCTTATTCATTTGCCGTCCACAGAAATAGAAGCAACAGCAGATAATAAAAATGAGCAGGAAGGAAGCGGTTTTTTTGCGTTCATTGATATTATCTGGGATTTGATATGCAAACATCCAAATTTTACGGTTCAGTCCAAGGCCTTATCGAATTTGCTGAACACTTTTCTTATTAGTGATCGTGTTATTAAGGATAAGAAATTAAGCGCCTTGGCTCCACTACTTTTGATTTCGAAACCAGATGTACTTTGTTCGTTGAATTCATCTGATTTCCTGAAAATTTTGGAAAATTGGCAAGCTGATCCATCTTTTCATGGTCTACAAGTATCTCAAAATTCTATCCAGGTTTGTCGATAAATTTTGTTATGTGAAAAGCTAATTAAGATATCCTATCGTTCCAGTTAGTTTATGTTTTACATTAAGACCGCATTACTTTGTGGTGTTATCCTTTACTGTTTTTTATATATCGTTTTATTTTGTTTTCATATCCAGAATTTATCAGTATTCCTAATTTTATTGTTCCTGCCCTTCACTTGCTTATTTTCCTTCCTAATATAAGAAATCCTTAACAGCTCTCTCTCTCTCTCTCTCTCTCTCTCTCTATATATATATATATATATATATATATGCAAGCTAGCATAGAAGTCTGTGGGTTTTGTTGTATGCTTACTTACTGCCCTTAGGATTTCTTTTAATTGGTTAGGGTAATTTGGCAATGTCTTAACAGTGTACATTCAGGATGAAAAACATCAGTTAGATTGATTTACCAATTTTTGGACGGGTAAATTATTCACTAAATGATGAAAACACAAACAACGAAGTGAGATATAACTATCATTGGATGATTACTACCTAAATAAAAAACAGTTTCTTAATGAAGTGGCGTCTGACTTTGTTGGTGAAGACTATGTTTTTAGTCTTTCGTTTTAATTTTAGTTAACTAGAATTAGGATTTTTTGGTGTTATTCATTCTTTATGGGAGTGAAAAGTCTTTGTTTTTGTTGACATAATTTACTTTTGGTCAGTGTCTGTTACTACCCAATCAAGAACACATCTGCGACCTTAACTTTTTTCGGAGACAAAAAACTTCAGTTCTTTCGTTCTCTATAGTCCAACTTGGAGTTCGGTTTTTGGTATTATAATTTGCGGGTAACGCAGTTTAATGTATATATCAGAGCAGAAAATGTTTTTGCATAATCTTTTAGAATTACTCAGGAAGAGTGCGGTACTGGGCTTGCTGTGGTACCGTGGAAAAACACCCTGTGATGGTTCGGAACAATATAATTAATGATAAAAGAGGAGTTTGTCGAAGATGTTTCGAAAAATGGTCATGCTCAGTGCGAGCAAAGTTCCTTGAGTACGAAAATAACATCAGTAATTAACGTGGAAGTGCATTTCCAGTATTACTCAGTGTGCTCCATGCAATCACATAAGTGAATTTTAATGATAAGAAATATGGCAACAAAATGTCATAAGTGAACATAAGGAGAGCAAAGCTCTGACCATATGCCGAGGAATAATCTACTGGATGAAACTTGGGCCACTGTTTCAAATCACCGATGATGTTTCGTTCATCTCCTTTCATTTGAGCGCCAGAGATTTTTAGCTAGTGTAGATAACTACCGCGAAACAGTTTTATATTTACAGACTTATAATTATGCATAGAAATTTGTTTTACAAGTTCAAATCTAATTACTTCGGTTTGATTATGATAAGCACTTAGTTTTCATCGTTACGCAGAAAGGATGAGAACCTGAAATTGTGGTTGTAAGCAAATTCTTGGAAATGGAGAAATAGCGAATCCGTTTTCCTAGTGTTTCTATGGTTGTAGTGCAAAAACAGACCGATAGTAAATATCGTAGAGTTAAAAGATCAGTCTATGCAAAACCTTATAAGCGAAGTTTATCGGAGATCAACGAAACCCTTTTATTTTATTTATGAGATTGCTTATATTGTATTTCCTACCGTGGATTTAATATTCATTAACCGCCACTGTAGGAAAATTATAACTTGTACTTATATATCGTTTGTGTTTTATTTTTGAAATTATGGTGTGTATTAAAACTTTTTGTCTACTTGCATTTCAATATATTCATCGATCATGCCATAAAAAATCAGCGATGAGAGAAGATGTCCTTGGATACTGTGACTGAATGTACTTTGATTTTTTTCATTCGGGACGGTTAGTGACGATAAATACTGTACAAATTTTGTTAAGATGAAAGATGTTTGCTCAGTTCTTTATGTCCGAGAAATAATTTATATGTTTCAAAAAAAGTTTACAATTTATTCCGACATAGCTGTACGTCCAAAAACAAAAAAATGCTTGATTCAAGAATATAAAATATTCAATTGATATTTCATCAATTGAATTTCATCAAGTCAACAAACGCAGATTTGGATTGAGATGCGAGAAGTTACAGAATTTTCCATCATTTTCCCTTTCATTGCTTTTTCACTGATGCACTTCATTCCATATAATATAATTCTAAAAAAGCATTTCTTTCAAGGCAAAAAAACCTATGATTTTTCGGACTATATTCTGATACATACTATATGAAAATTATTCGGGAAAATAGGTGTAAAAAATATAATTGCTTACTGCAAGTATTGTTATCCGCGAATGTCACGTGTCTAAAGTTTCATTTGCAACGCATTGTAAAGCATCAAGCGACAATCTTTAGTTTCAGGCTTATTAAAGCTATTAAAGTTATATTTATTTGAAGTGGGAGGACAATTAGCGAAGAACAAGGAAGTAAATGATACTGAAAAGTGTAACAGCAATTGTAGCTTGCAGACTGTAACGGTGTGCGGTAAAAATTTCGTCGAACCGATTGTTCCGCACCATTTTTCAATATTTCATATGAAGAAACAAAAATTAAGGAAGTCTACTGGAGGCTGATTACATCGCTGGCATGGAACCGATGCCTGAGTGAACTTATAAACATCATTGCTGCATACTATTCCAGGAAAAAATAGTGTGGTTAGTTCGCAGATGAAAATTTAAGGACATATTTAGGGTAACTAAGAAAAAAGATTGGTTTGAAATAATAGATCTACAATAGCTGTGCTTGGCATAATTCACCGTTTCGTTCTATTCAAAGAAATACATGAAAGGCTGAATGATGTCTGTGATTCTGACGATGATGCATAATAACAATCAATACTTTTTGCAGTCATAATAAATGAGAAAGAGTGGTGGAGAAGTGCGAAAAATGAACTTTAGAGGATCAAACCTTTGAAAGTAAATACTGGGAATTTGTTTATTTGTCATTAAATCAAGTAAGAAGTAAAAATGAGTTAGAATTAAGAAACAGAACGGACGATTATGCATCGAATGTAGTGCTTCTATACATGCAGTACGTTTTATGAGCAAATAAAGCACAAAAATGGTAGTGAAGTTTCAGAGTAAAAAGTGATTGGTTAAAGCGACGATGATTGGACAAGAAAGTAATTATGGTAAATGATCGATTAATGTTTGGGTTCACGCGCCCAGTTTTAAGAATTGGTTATAAAGGGCATACATGTCACATTGCTTACTCTTGCCCTTCTGCTGTGACATTTTTGAGCACATCTTCACCATTTTCAGTTGAAATTTTAGCTTACAAACATTTTTACAAACAAAATTAGCTTACAAATATATCTTACCCAAAAGTTTCTGCCCCAAATTAAATGCTGTTTGAGGAAGATTTGAAAACTATTTTGGTGTCATTATTGCATTAATATTTTTATTTAAAGATGTAGGTGAGTGATATCGTATTGTCGAAAACAATCTGAAAATTTAAAATGCTCAAACATAAGTTTATCTGTCAGTAAACTAGAGCGATTTCTTTTTTCGTGCATGAGCCTCCTAGAATTATCTGATGAGAGGCGGGAATGATTCAACAAAAAATGAAAAAAGTGTAAGTTGGAGACATATATTACGGAACTATATGGCAATTTTTAATTGGCTTACATCTTGGTGTAATCTAACTGTGCAAGTAGTCTTATTAGCTCTTTTGAATTCTGTCTAGAATCATTTATTCCCACGTAAGCATGTTAACTTTTTCCAATGAATCTTGTCATTTATATTTCCTGATCAATGTTATTGCCCTTTCTTCCTTTTGTTTTTCAACGCTGCATAGGTACTTCGCATAAAACTCTGTCTTTTGTTCACTTCATAAAGATTTGATTTTCAGGAATAAACGGACTTTTATATTTTCAAAGAAATGTCAACATCTATGCAATTATATGACAACGGCAAGGTTATTAAGTAAGTTCTTAAATATGTACGTTCCAGGATTATTTATCAGGACATTTCACGGGAGGAATCTATAAGTGTATGTTTTCTAACAATCAATTATTATTAAATGTCTTGTAGCCCAAAAAGTTATGATGATCTGTCTGAAATAGCAAAGTCAATTCTGAAACAAATACAGCTGAAAGAGGTACCAAAGATAGGCATCATATGCGGTTCTGGTTTGGGCAGCATTGCAGACTTTATTGAACAAGCAGAAATATTATCCTACACCAAGATTCCTGGCTTCCCAATCTCACATGGTAAGAAATTTTAAATGGAAGTATTTAAATCATTTCCATTTTTCACTAGTTTTTTGATTTACTTGCTTGAAATAAGTTAAAGTTACTAGAAAATTGCAGTTATCGGCCACAAAAGTAATTTAGTGTTCGGCTACATAAACGAAAAATATGTTATTTGTATGCAGGGTAGATTTCATCCATACGAATATGGAATGGACTTGGCACTGGTTAGTCATATATTTCATTATCATTTAAAATGGTAAATTTACAACTGCAACTTGAAGTATAATTTAACATATTTCAATGTGTTCAAAATAATGAGAAGTGATATTTTTTAAAAGCAAAGCCAAAAAATAAATAGGAGATGCAAGTTCTATACAATAAAACTTTGCAGAGTTTAAATGTGACGTCAGATATATTTGCAGTGTGCAATGCCAGTACGAATACTACATTTATTAGGAGTGGAAACACTAATTGTATCAAATGCAGCTGGTGGGTTGAACTCAAATTTCAAAGTGGGCGACTTGATGATAATCAAAGACCATATATTTTTCCCTGGCTTAGCTGGATTTTCACCTTTTGTTGGTTTACATGATCAACGATTTGGCGAACGTTTTGTTTCCCTTCATGAAGCTTACGATCCGAAACTCAGGTCCTTATTTTCATTTTCAGTTTATACTTTTTACTGTGCCACATTTTATACAGATGTTGCAATATAAAGGTTTGTTGCCATGAAATGCAGTTATATAAACACGAATGTAAAAAGACCTCTTTTTTAGAAAATTAGCTATAGATGTGGCTAGACGGCAAAAGATACGAATTCATGAAGGTGTTTATGCAATGAATGGAGGTCCGCAATTTGAATCTCCTGCCGAGTTACGGATGTTGAAGATGTTAGGAACAGACGCTATTGGTAGGTGTCTTCTATGTTATCCTTTCATCTTAAAGGTAATTTAGAAGCTTTTAAAGCAGGTAAATGATATTATATTCTTTCAGGAATGTCAACATGCCATGAAGTAGTTGTTGCATGTCAAATGGGAATGCGAGTTTTCGGCTGTTCACTTATTACTAATATGTGTGTCTATAATATGTCATCATAAACAGCAAGTTTCATCTAAGCAAATATTTCACCTCATTGAAAGCAAAGGCAAAAGTTTTTGTCTGTTAACAATAGTGGTTTTAAATGAAGGCTTCCTTGTAAGAAAAGGAATATTAAATGAAGCAATTTGCAGAGCAAACCTAGATCATGAGAATGCAGTTATGGTGACGCATGAGGAAGTGCTGAAAACGGGAGAGGAAGCACAGGAGAGAACCTGCAGTTTCGTTTCTGAAATTGTAAAAAATTTGTGATTTATTTCATGGTATACACTTAAAACCAGCTTACTGATTTTAAATAAGAGAAGGCCATTCTTTATGTTCTCAGGAGTTGAATTTTTAGCGAAAAAGACTTAATGAATTAACCACTGAAAAATTGCGATATCGGTAGCAACATGGCAGAGATTTTAAAATTTAATATGAAAGTCTCGTTGCGTACCCTTTTTTCATTCAGAACCTTCGAATCATTTGTTCATTTGTTAATGCTTTTAGAAATATAACTCTTTGCACTTTAAAGATACTAATGTTTCGCTACACATCTATTAGATTAGCATATAAGGTACATTTCGCTACAATTCGGCTATTTGATATTATCACCTGTTATGATTGTATGACTTTGAAAAAGAAGTTTCAGCCATCCAGACTTTATCTTTGTCTTTTTTAAAGTACTTTCCATAAAAACATAACAAATATGTTTCTGATATTGAGGCATCAAATGAGATATAATGCAATGAAAGTGGCATCGTAAAACCGATACATGACTATGCTACTAAAAGAGTCAACAATATTTTGTTCAAGGTTTAGATTTTGGTTCCAGGCCCTTCATTATTGTTTTTGCACAAGATGAGTCAAAAGTGTGAAAAATAAAGATGAACAAGCAAGTACAGATCCAAAAGCTGGAAATGCCGAAACAAATTGGCCAAACTTGCTTATTATATGCCTAAATAGTCCAATATGAGCTTAGAAAATTTGGTTTTGCTCTAGTTTCTATCACTTCGTGATCAAAAAGGAGATGAATGACAAAAGGTTTTTAGGGCTTCTCTGATAACTGATGTATAAGAACTAACATTGATTGCTGATTTCGACGAATTGCTTAATCAACGTTATCTGTTGTGTGCTTTTTATACGTTATATGTTACGACTTATTGTTGCTGTACTGAGTTAAGATAACAAGTGGATATCATTCGATCTGCAATTTGGTGTCACTTTTGAAATTCAAACCAGGTGCTGAAAGTGCTATAGTACTGATGGAAAAGTTTATCACTAAACAACAAAACCATAGGCCATTTTTGTTCTGAAAATTCGTATTTAACAGTAAATAATAAATGAAACATTCTTCATATTGCAAATGTTATGATAACTATTGACTTAGTTTGATCAATTTGATCTAACAATCGGTGGATCAGTTAAACGTATGGCAGGGAATGAAATAATAAATAGCTTGGTTGATGAAAAACAAAAGAAATTTAGAAATGCTAAGCGAAGCTACATTCCAAGTGAGTGTGGCGCGGATGAAGTTGTGTGGTGTAGAGAAGGGAGTAGCGATTAGCGCTGCAGTAACGGCTTTATGTTTTGAACAACGGCAGGATGGATACAGTGGTTAGTATCTGACTGATTCCTGAAGATGTGTGTTACATCGCACAACTGCTCCAACTTATCATACAACACCTACTTCTCCTCCTAACACTCTAATCAAGTTAAACATATCCTCCTCACACCTTCCACTTAGGTATCCGCAACTTGTGAGGCTAATCTTCATCTTTCACATTTACAGTTATCACATCCTCTCACTAATATGTTCTATCTGGTCGATACATTGCGCAACTTATTAGTCCTCCTATCAACTCACTGTTGTTGGATTCCAGTTTCCTTCATCCCATTATTCACTTTTTCTCACTTTCAAGTCTGAAATCACGTCATTTAATTTATCTCTCGTTTCTTCCTCAAGCTGATTTGAGTCTAAATGCATCTCATGGTGATTCTTGTTATTCTTGGCGCATTCCCATATTTGACTTCCTTTTACCTTGCAGCTTTTCAATTCTTTGAATTTTTAAGCAATATTTTAATAAAATTATGTAAGCTGGAATATTTTTTTACCTTAACTTTCCGTGAAATTTTTGCTGCTTAGCCCTATTTAAAAATAGCTTAAGAATAAAAAATTTGTTAAGAAAGCCGTCGATATTAAATTCAGAGAGGAAATAAGTGCTGTGATATTACAGAAGATGCTTAAGCAGTCGAAATTTGGATAGCAATGACATTTTATACCGGAAAATAGTAAATTTTAAAAAAAGTTTTAATTTCAAAAAACAAACGTCTCTGAATTTAAAAGATAAAAGCTGTGGAGAAAGAGATGAACAAACTTGTCGTTTGTCTTACTGCTTCGATCTAAAATTATCTACTTATAATGCGATGATGAGCTTTGTTTTCTCAGTTTTTCTGTAAAAACGAACCTCATAAATGTTGGAACTATTATTTTTTTTTAGTTTTAGTTACAGCTTTTCTGTTTTATATATGAAAATATAATGTTAAGAATTAAACATTGTAGAATAAGTGTTAAGTGATTCGATAATTAAATTTCAGCTAAAATACAAGATTTTTTGTCATTTCTTTTGATGCCAAATATCACATTAGAAGTCTTTTAGTTATTGTTATTGCACCACCAACAACACATTGGTATCTTTCTGAATACATGATGTCCTAAATTGCAAGTCAACCCGCGGTGATTTAATTTGAGTACGTGGAAAACATTGATGACCCTTTAGCTTTCAATATTAGTTGTGTTCTTTCACATTTTTCAAAATTTTTGCTTTGAGCTTTTGCTACAGACTGCATTCTATTACACTTGAAAGCCGAAGAGTTGTTTTATTCTGTTTCATATGTTCAATCATGTTTCTATCTTGAAAAGCAATCAAATCAATTTGATTATTACCATCAACTTCATGAATATCTTTAATTCAAAATCTTTCCATTTTGTTCTTATTACGTTGCTACCTTAGTTGAGCAGTCCGGCCTTGCTATTTTGTATGATGCAACATTATTCAACATAAAAATTTGAAGTTATTCAAGTGATTTGACTATTCCTTTTAAACCGCAGATGATAGGCAACTTTTGCAAAATAGGTTGAATTAGTTTTTATGCACTTTACAGCATTTATTCTAAAATTTATTTGTGCTGTTAAACACATGGTGCTTTTTTATTTATTATTATCTACATCAACATATTTTTAGAATAAAGCATTAAAAGAATGTAGAGACATTTTAATAAGAAGAGCGAGGTATGCTTTATTAAACAAGCTTTTATTTATTGGAAATTTTTCCTTTATTTCTTTTATTTACTGATTTTTGAATTCCGGGAAATAAAAATATTTGTCACAGCTTGCGAATTTCAAACAGTGAGTTTAATTTTTATGTCACTTTGGAAAATTCTGAACTTTACGAGCTCACTTAAAGCAGAAATTTATTGATGTTAAATCATATACCATATAAATCATCATTTTATTTGCTTTTTGATGATTATGTTACATAACATGTATTTTTAAACGCAGTTGACAACGATGGTTATTTTCACAGCCTTACCAGCTGGTACTAGCGGCGATGAAAGTCGTATATTAGTTGACGAATCGGATTATCAAGGAGGTTAGTTTAGAAGATCTCATTTTCCATTTCTTCTAGTTTATTTCGCTCAAATATTAACTATGTATTCTTGATAGCTAAAGACATAATACTATGTGAGTGTCATTCGTCGTCTCAAACTCATACTATTTTATGAAATTTATCAAGTCCCCTTCAATTTTGTTGTAGTGGATGATGAACAGCTTCCATTTGAAATCAAGGACATTGTTCGGATACGAGCCAATGAAAAGTTTTCAAAATATTACGACTGCATGAATGAAATTGGAGAGTTAATATTTTTTCGATATATTGTAACATTAGAGTGTAGTGCTAGGTTGTGTTGTATTGCACTGATTCTGTGTTCTGTATTTATTCTGGGTATTCTAAACGTTGCGAATAATGTTGCAAATATTACGCCTCAAGATGCTTCATCAAATGAGCATTTGTTCAGGGGAAAGTTTGGAAAAGTATATCGATGTCGTGAAAAAGCAACAGGATTTGAGCTTGCAGCAAAACGTATCAAAATAAAACGTGAAACGGATCGAGAGAAAGTGGAACGAGAGGTTCGTTGTAATAATGATGGATAATAAAGTAAGTCAAGTTTAGAAATGTGCTAAGCCTTTCCTTATCGGTTGATTTATAAAACAATTTAGGTAGCTATTATGACGAAATTGAGACATCCTCGAATAGCGCAAATTTATGATGCTTTTGCTACACCTGAGAACGATGTTGTACTGGTTATGGAAATGTAAGTTCGTCGATATTACTAATCATCATCTTACTTCATTCTCCATTCTCATAATTCGTATAACGTGTATGAATTTAGAGTGAGCGGCGGTGAACTATTTGACCGAGTTGTTGATGAGAACTATATTCTAACAGAATTGGCGGTTGTAATGATTATTTGTCAACTATGTGAAGCAATTAGCTATATTCATAGCAAAAATATTGTTCATCTGGACATAAAGGTTATTTTTAGGTTCATTAACTACTTATGATCAGCTGACAAATTTTCATTGCCATCTGATTGAAAATGATGCCGTGCAAAATTTCAGTTTCATCTTACATTTGAGATATTTCAGCATCCTCAATAAGGGTATGACCATAATGGTATTGACTTCATTATGATACTCCATATGATGAAAATTCCATATTCAGAGCTAGTCTTTGTTGTGATAAGAAACACAAATAAGAAATACTGGTATCTGTCATACCTGCTAAATATTTAATGTCTGATATCTGTTAATAGCAAACATACTTTTAGCCGGAAAATATCATGTGTGTTTCGCAAACGGGTAACCGCATAAAAATCATTGATTTTGGCCTCGCTCAGTTTTATGACGGTTCGTCGAATCTGTTATTTATGGCTGGAACTCCAGAATTTGTTGCTCCGGAAGTGATCAAATTTGAGCCTATCGATTTCTATACCGACATGTGGAGCATTGGCGTCATCACTTATATTTTGTTAGATTGAAATGTTGTTCATCCTAGCTAGCATATGTGTTGAAATGGTCTTGAGTTTATACTTTTCATTATTTGTTGAGTAATATGTTATCAGAGCACTTTAAATTCTTGGAAGACTAAAAGAATTGATATCTAGTTTTTTAATTGGTATCAAACAAAGGTATTGCAGATTGTCAGGGA